TCATCATCATCATCATCATCATCATCATCATCATCATCATCATTATCATCATCATCATCATCATCATCATCATCATCATCATCATCATCATCATCATCATCATCATCATCATCATCATCATGCTTCCCATCATTGCTCTTCCCTCCCTCCCCCCCCATCCCTGGTCTCCTTCCAGCGGCAGTGGAGGGTGGAGGCTGCGGCGGGGCGGGCTGCGGCGGAGGCGCCTGGTCGTCGAGATTGTACATCTTCTGCATCTCCTTGACGTCCTTGTCGATCTTCGGCTGGCCCACGAACACGCCGTTCTCGCGGCGGGGGTGGGGCCCTCTGCTCGGGCGCGCAGAGGGCGGAGGCCGCCCAAACGGGGTCCGAGCAGATGGGGTCGCAGGACCTAGCCGCATCGGCAATGCACCGGCGGCGTCGGGATGAAGAAAATCGGTTTCCGAATCGAGCCCTCTCGAAGAGGCGTCAGCGATACGGCGCGATCCACCGACCCAGCCTACGCGCTTCGGCCCCATCTGGGCGGCCCCGAGGGCGGAGAGGGGGAGGGGAAAAGGAGAGGGAGAGGGTGACAGAGTGATTCCAAGGGGACAGTGTTGGCAGCCACAAGCTAGCCAACCCCTGGAAACCAGGAACCCAAAAATGTTGCCCTCTCGCTCTTGTTTCCGCCGCCTTCCGCCAACGCTCTACCAGATTCCGTCAGCGGACCCGCCGCTGTGTCACTTCCACCAGCTTCCACTGACCTCTTGCGGGCTTCCGCCGAGGCCCTCTCTGGGACGCGCCATGTGTGGCCACCCGCCTGCTCACCTGGAGAGGATCCGCCGACAGACGCCCAGGGCGGTCGGCACAGGGTTTCGTGCCTTGCGTCGCGCTCCTGGGGGGAGAGAGCGGGCGCACGGACAAGAAGGGGGGAGGGGGGCGGGGAGAAGGGGCGTGGGGAAGAAGGACAATTTCCTCCTCCGACTCCTCCGCCTCACATATCCTCCTCTGTGTTTTCCCCCATCCACATCATGCGTCCTTTTCCTCGTGTTCCTGGCCTTTTTCCCCCCCATACACCTCGTCATGTTTCCTCTACCTCACACCCGTCCCCATCATTACCTTCATGGCTATCTTGTTCATCATCGTAATCATCACCCTCATTTTGATCGTCAGCATCATCAGCAGCAACAATAGCATCACCACCAACACCGTCTTTTTCTTATCCGTCATCATCATCAGCAGCATCAGCATCAGCAGCATCATCATTATCATCATGAGCAGCACAATTATCGGCAGCATCACCCTAAGCATCATCATCACCACCGTCATCAGCAGCCAGCAGCATCAGCATCATCAGCATCATCAGCATCATCATCAGCATCATCATCAGCAGCATCAGCATCATCAGCATCATCAGCAGCAACACCATATGCATCATCATCATCATCAGCAGCAGCAGCAGCCGCGTCAGCATCGTATTCAGCATCAGAGTCAACACCATCGCCATAAGCATCGTCATCACTTCCACCCGAATCATGATCATCAGCATCATCATCACCAGCAGCAGCATCAACAACAACAACATCATCATCATCATGATCAGCAGCATCAGCATCCGCATCATCATCATTATCATCATCATCATCATCATCATCATCATCATCAGCAATGGCATCAACATCGGTAGCAGCAGCAGCTGAAGCAGCACCAGCAGCGCCATACGTATGATGATGGTTAGCAGCATCGTCATCAACCCCATCAGCATCGTCATCGTAATCGTCATCCGCACCATCCACATCATCATCATCATCACCATCAGCATCATCATCATAATTTTGCTCCGCCGCTTAGCTTTGGAGGGAGAAGGGGAGGCCGAACACCCAGGCCGAAGCTATGAACAGGCCCAACTGTAGCCTGGAGCCTCGGCCTGATGCACCGGCGCAGGCTCGAGGACTCCACGCGGCGGATCCCGCGGCCCATGCCCTCGCAAGCGCGGGGCACGCGCGGGGAGAGAACGGGGGGAGGAAAGTGAGGATGCGCGGGAGGACGCGAAGGAGGACGCGAGGGAGGAGGAGAAGACGAGGAGGAGGAGGAGGAGGAGGAAGAGGAGGCGGGGGGAGAGACTCGAAGCGCGCAAATCGGGCATCCAGAACTTGGCCCCGAAAACGGACAATGGCACGGGGCTCGACAAGGAAAAGTAGCAGCACAGCTGGGCGGATACGAGGGCAGCTCCACGGGTAAGAATTCACCCCGTAGACGCATTGGCGCCACGCCGAAGCAAGGGGAGGCAAGGCGAGCAGACGAGGAGGGGACGAAAGGGGGGAAGAGAATGCCCCGTGCAAGCTTGTGTCTGGCCAAACTCTGCCGCGGGACCTGTCATACGAAGGTGGCCGAAAGATGGCCGCAGCGGCGCACGCATCAGAGACTCCTACGACACGCGGGCGTCCACCCGGCATCGATCAAAATCGGCTGGAACAGGCAAAAGAAGGAGGGACAGATGCGAAAAGGAAGCCGCACCGTGGATGGGCTGGCATCCCCCGGCCAACGAGGATCCCGAAAGCAGTGCTACCGAGAATGACTCACCAGACAGCCGCGTCCTGTCCCAAACTTCTCCTCCCCATCCCTTCTCCCTCCCTCCCCTCATCATCCTCCTCCCCCTCCGCCTTCCTCCCCTTCACCAGAGTCCTGCTCGCACTTCCGCTTTCCGTCTCTCTCTCTTGCTCCCACCTTCCCCCTTCCAATCAATCCATCGCCATCCTGACCGTCATCGTCGTCAGAGGCGTCGCAGACAAGAACGCAGAAGGCCCGCATCAGGCGCAGAGCGGCCGGCTAGTGTTGCCCAGCGTGTGCACGCCCACCATCCCTGGAAAAAAACAGTGCAAAGCGCGCGTTGCAGAGAAAACGGTGACCATGCGCGGGCGCCTCGCGATGATGCTGCACTGTTACTTGACAGGGCTGACATCGGCGGTGGACAAACCTCCTTTCAGGTCAACCACCCTTTGGCGAAAACGGCCTCGGATCGAAACCGACGGACCTGGACCCGCAAAAATGACGGCCTCGACGCCCTCTCGCGAACCGAAAACGGCCAATTCGCTAATCGACGTGTCAGGGTAAGAGGTCCATCAACCTCCGATGCTAGGGGCGCATATTGCTGTGTGCGCGTGGGCCCGCCATAAAGTTCTAAAACAAGTGCCGAATGTGCGCGGGTGCACGCACCCTGCGCCATGCTGGCCACCCCCCCCCTTCGCAGCGGCTTTTGGCAAGGGTGGTGGGGGTCGACACGTTCCCCGATTCGTGCTGTAACGTGTACTGGCGCGGATGGAGCAAGTGGCACACTATCGGCGGCGAAGACTGGGAGGGAAGTGAGAAGGGGCGGGCCTTCTCAGAAGGCTCGGCAGTGCGGCCTTCTGAGGAATCTTCGAAGCCTTCCCCGGAGACACAGAAAACGGGCCAGAAGGCGCGAGGGCTCCTGTGCAGTCCCTCCTCACGTTCCCCCCTCGCTCGCAGCAAGCACTTGGCGAATGTGGAGCCCGCGGCGCACCAGGCGCGCCTGGCACGCTTGGGCCCCAGGGCGCGCCGGGCGCAGCCCGTGCGAGGAGCGCACCTGGTACGCGCGGCGCACCTCGCGCGCACCGCACACCCGGCGTCTGCTTGGGTTCCTGCTGGCTGTCCATCTCATGGCGGCCCCTGCCACTTAACTATTGGCGGCGAGCGAGGGGGGGAGAAAGGAGAAGGCCTTCTCAGAAGGCGGCGGGACTTCTCAGAAGCCCCCGCACCTTTTCTGTTTTCAGAAAAAGGCATTGAAAACTTCTCAGAAGGCCGGGGGACTTCCGAGACTTCTGGGAAGGCCCGCCCCTTCTCACTTCCCCACGCTCGCCGCCGAGTGGTGAGAGGGCGGGTGGGAGTGAGCGAAACGGCCGTCCTTTGGGGGTAAGCTTGAACCCTCCCCTACCCCATATCCTGGGGGGTCTGAAGGGGTGGGGAGGGTGGCCCGTGGGGCACGAGCGCACAAGCTGGCCCAAGACTGCTCCAATGTAGCCTCAGGTAGCCCAAGGTGGCCTCATAGATCGCACAAGATAGCCCATCATAGCTCAAGATAGCCTCCAACATGCCTCCAAAAGGCCCCAAGACCGCCCCAAGACGACAGCAAGTGGCCACGGAACCTCCCAGGGACGCCCCCGAGAGGCAAATAATAGTCAAGACCCGAGGGAGTGAATGAGGTGTGCCTTCTGGCGTCTTCGCTTGCGACTGGCTTTTGAGGCCTCAGGATGGCTCCCGTATAGCCCAGGGGGGCTCCAAGACGGCCCCAAGAGCGCCCAAGAGCGCCCCGAGAGCGTTTGTTCGGCCTCCGGCGGATAGGGAGGGGGACAAGGGCAAGGACGAGGATTGCCGCGGTGGGCCGCGAGGGTCTGGCAAGATGGCTCTGGAGCGTCGTCAAAAAGCAGTCGAGTGATGGAAAATACAGCAGCATCGTGAGGTACAGTACTGGCAATGAGACTGGCAAACGGACCTCTGCTGGACAGGAAGGAGGAGGAGGAGGAGGAGGAGGAGGAGGAGGAGGAGGAGGGGGAGGTAAAGGATAGAGACTGGGGGGGAGGGGGCGTAATTTGTAACGGCCCCTATATTTTGATCGATCAGGGGGGCCCAAAGCCCAAGAGGGCCCCCAAGGCCCGCAAGAGGGCCCCAAGAAGGGCCCCAAGAGAGCCTGAAAGGCCTACAAAAATGGTCCCAAGAGTGCCCTAACATGGCCCACAAGTAAGCTGCCAAGAGGATCCCATCTCGAATGACCTACGAAGGCATGTGTGGTTGACTCCTGGGTCTGTTCAGGGTTATCCCGAGCGCCAGTTTGTCGGTTCCCCTTATGCTTGTGTCATTGCTTGCTCGTACACTTCCCTGACAAATACAACTCGCCTAGGCATCGATTCTGGGTCGGCTGGTAGGGATGCGCGAAGTGCCAAGGATGTTGCGCAATCATAAGCCGGCCTCATCCTGCCCTCTGCCATCTTCCCTCCCTCCCTACCTCATCTATGTCCATCAGCATCATATGTGTGTTCCAGACCGCCCTCACTCACCAGTCTCCTCCTCAACATCAACATCAACTTCATACATTTACATAGATACACATACAGATCATCCGCATCACCGTTCTCTTCCTGCGCCTCCTCCTCCTCCCCCTCCTCCTCCTCCTCCTCAACATCCTCCTCCTCTTCAATGCTCCCCCTCATTCTCCCTCCTCCTCCTCCTCATCATCATCATCATCCTTCTCATCCAGCAAATTTCTGGGCATTCCCTTTGCGGCCATCACCCGTCACGCTTCACCGTCTACCGTCAGATTCGAATTGCAGCAGCATTGCCGTGTGTTCCCCCCAGACCAGAATGCCTGCATCTCCTTAATCTTCACCGACAGCAGCCCAGCGGGCACGCGCGCGGTCTCCAGAATGTCCTCCCCATCAAGAGTGGAGCGGGCACTTGGGTGGAGGAGCGGGACATGGGGTGGGGTGGGGCAGCGGGATGGAGTGACATCGGGGTGTAGTGGAGAGGAGCGAAGCAGAGCGGCGCGGTGGAGTGGTGAGTGGAGTGGAGGTTGGGCTGGAGTGGAGTGCAGAAACGCGGGGCATGTTAGGCTTGAGCGTAGTGTGGAGCGGTCAGATGGGCAGTGCGGGGTGGACTCGCGGAGTGGAGGGTGCAGACCCAAAAATGCGACGTCCTGATGTTTTCAATACGGGGTCCCTCCAAGTCCCGACCCGTTTTCCGGGGGCCGGTTTTTCGTCCTGAGTTGTTTTGTTGACGGTCCCGAGGTCCGGCGAGGGCCCCCCGAGGCCAAAAATTGCCAAAAAACTCCCGTCCCAATCTTTACGACGCGATCATGTCTGGAGAGAGGAGCGGCACCGGTGCGATTTGGGGAAGTGGAGGGGATTGGTAGGCCGGGCTGGCGGGAAGGGCAGGAGGAGCCAGGCCTTGGAGGAGGAGGAGGAGGAGGAGGAGGAGGAGGAGGAGGAGGAGGAGGAGGAGGAGCCAGCCGTTCGTTCGGCACGGCCTTCAGGCGGCAGTCGAGCGTGTTTTCCCCCCCTCGCCCCATCCTCGCCCGCGGTGTCAGATGTTCTTCATCGTCCACCTCCCCCTGTCGTGGCCAACCCACCCCGCCCTGGCCGTCAGGGGCCAGGAAACAAGAAGAACGAGGCGCCCAGGTGCAGCATGCCTTGGCGTGGGTCGCACGAGCCTGCGCCCTCGGGCCGGCCAGCTGCAACGGAGCGCCTGCAGCGCTACCCTCTGTACAGGCCCTTCGCCTGGAACTCCCGAGATCCCCGCCTGGAACACCAGCTTTCGAACCTGTCAAAAGCGGCCCGTCGGCGTCAGGAATGCTCGACGCGCGGTGGGTCGCCGAGGGCAACCCGCGGACAAAGGTGAGCTCTGAGGGAGTGGCTGTCCCTGGAGGTGGTGGGGATCAGGCGTCCACTGCAACTACGCCCCGCGGTGTGGGGGGGGGGGGGGCAACCATTTCCTCCTCCCTCTCTCATCCTTTCCTCCTCCGCACTTCCTCTGCCCCTCCTCCGCGGTTCCTCCATCCCTCCTCCCATCTTCCCTGCCGTCCTCCGCCATACCTCTCCGGTCCATCCCCCCTCCCTCCTTTACCCGTCTCCCTCCCTCACTCGCTCCTCATTTGTTTTTCATCCATCTCTCGCTCTCTCTCTCTCTCTCTCTCTCCCTCCCTCCCTCCCTCCCTCCCTCTTTCTCGCTCTCTCTCTCTCTCTCTTCCTATGCTTCTCTCTCTATACATATATATATCGAGAGAGAGAGAGAGAGCAAAAAAAAAAAAAAAAATGCCTCTAAAACCCATCGCGCGCTTCGCGCGCACTCAAGTTCTAGCTAGGCTGGATGGTCGATTTCTTGGGGATCTCTATTCCATGACACTTCTTCTCTAGGGCTTCCAAGAACCACGAAGACGGCCCAAGGTCCACCCACGACGGCTTAAGACAGGCCCAAAAGGCACTTCGAAGGCCTTTTTATTCGCCGCGGCTGGACGTAGCCGGAGGAAGAGGGAGGACAAGGGGAGATGAAGGGGTTCCCTGGGGAAGAAGGAGAAGGAGGATGAGGAGGTGGAGAGGGTGGAGGAGGCCGCAGAGGAGGAGGAATCGGACGAGGAGGAAGAGGAGAAGGAGGAGGAGGCAATACGATATTACTTGTTTGCAAGCGTAGCGGAGCTGCCAGGCGAACTGTAAAAAAGAGTGCCCTCGGGGCCTCTCTCGGGGCTCTTTTGGGCATCTTTGAGGCTTCTTGGGGACCTCTTGAAGCCTCCCAGGGGCCTCTTGGGGCGAAGATCTCGGGTTCTCGGCTCACATTCCCGATCCTGAGCCGCGATTGGGGCCCTCTCGAGCCGTCTTGAACATCTCTTCGGCGCTGTTGAAGCCTATTGGGTCGTATTGGGGCGCTTTTGAAACCTGTTGAGCCGTCTTGGGGCGATCCTCGGAGCCTCTTGGGGCGTTTTGCCGCGTCGGGGCGGAACAGGCGAAAACGCCAAAATTGTTCAAAAATCTATGGAAAACTTAGTGGCCTTCGGCCCATCCCGCCACAGTGACTGGGTTGTGGGCTATAGAGGCCTCTTGGGAGTTCGTTTGGAATTTGTGGGAGGCCTCCCCGGGGCCTCTTGAAGGCAGTTTGGGAGGCCTCTTGGGGGCCGTTTGGGGTGTTCTTGGAGCCTCTTGTAGGGCCTCTTTGGGGCCTCGTGGGGCCACTAGGGGGCCTCTAGGGGGCGTCTTGGGCTGTGTTGGGGGCTTCTTGGGGCCTCCTGGGGGCGTCTTGGGGCGGACGGCTCGAATTGTCCGTTCGTGTTCCCCCTCTTGGGCCCCTCTTGGGGCCGTCTCGGGGCCCTCTTGTGCGATCTTGGGCGCCTCTTGGACCGTCTTGGGGCACTCTTGGGCTGCCTTGGGGCTGCCTTTGGGTGCCTCTTGGGCCGTCTTGAGCTGATTTCTGGGGCCTCGTGGGCTGTCTTGGACCGTCGGAAGCACGAAACAGCGAGAAGACGAAAAAATATCAAAAACAATCGAAAAACCTACTTGGTTCGCCTCCTGAGGGCCTCGTGGGAGTCCTGTTGGGGGCATCTTGGCCGTCTTGAAGCCCTCTTGGGCTGTCTTCAAGCCATGCTGGACCCATTTTGAAACGCTCTTGTGCGGTCTTGGGCTCTCTTGGAGCGCCCTTGGGCCATCTTGCCGCTCTCTTGGACGTCTCTCGGGCCCTCTCGTCGCCGCCCTTCCCCTCCTTTGACGCGTTCTGACACCCCCGACGGGACCAAAACGGCCGGAAGCGAAATCAGTGCACTCCTGGCCCCCCGGGACCCCCTCACCATTTATATACATAGATCTATATGCACACATACATGCATACCTACATACATACAGTACAGTACAGTACAGTACAGTACAGCACAGTACAGTACAGTACAGTGCACTACAGTACACTACAGCACACTACAGTATTACATTACATTACATTACATTACCTTACATTACGTTACATTACATTACATTACATTACATTACATTACATTACAAAACATTACATTACATTACATTACACTGCACTACATTACATTACATTACATTACATCACAGAACATAACATGACATTACATTATATTACATTACATTGCATTACATTACATCACATGGCATTACATTACGTTACATTACATTACAATGCACTACATCACATTACAATACATTACATTACAGTACATTATACTACATTACCTCGCAAGACAATACATTGCATTACATCACATTGCACTACATCGCATTATATCACATTCAATACATTACATGACATTACATTACATTACAAGTCACTACAATACATTACATTGAATTGCATTGCATGGCATTACATTACATTCACATTACACCACAAACATACATACATACATTACATTGCATTACATTGCATTACATTACATTACATTACATTACATTATTGCATCGCATTACATAAATTGCATTACATTGCATACATACCGACACCCTCATACATACATACATAAACACATACATACATATATAGCTATATAAATGTATGTAGATCGGTACATATACGTGTATGTACATATACAGATATAATTCCTCCTTTTTTCTCCCCACACCTTTCTCCTCCTCCCCCTCCCCATCCTACCACAAGTGTCATTGCCTGTCGCCTCCGTCTGTCCAATCCGTGTCCTGCGTTCCTTCCCTTGGCTCAGCCTGGCAAACTTGGCCTCCTCCTCATACTCCTCTTCCTCCTATTCCTCCTCCTCCTCCTGCTCCTCCTCCGACTCCAGCTGGCCCTCCGTCTCGAATGCCTGGCACCCCTCTCCGCTCCCACAACGCGTGCATGTCACCGTCGTGGGTGTCTTTCCGCTTCACCATCTCGTCGTTCAGCTGCTTGGTGATCCGCTCGTCGAGTCCGAAGTGGTCGGCCAAGTCCTGCAAGGGGGGGTGGGGGGGAGGCGGAGACGGCGGCACACCGTTCGCACGACGAGTAGGAGGGGAGGTGAGGAGAAGAAGGAACAGGAGGCCTTCTCCGTTTCCTCAATCACTCTCCTTCTCCTCTTCCTCCTCCTCATCATAATCATCAGAATCATCATCATCACCGTCAGCAGCATCATCAGCATCATCATCACCATCATCATCTCATCACCAGCATCCTCATCATCCTCACCCTCATCCTCATCATCATCTTCATCATCACCACCACCATCGTCGTCGTCAGCGTCGTCGTCGTCGTCATCGTCGCCATCGTCGCCATCGTCGTCATTGCAATCGTCATCGACATCGTCATCCTCATTATCATCATCACCATCATCAGCATCATCAGCATCATCGACATCATCGTCATTACCATCATAAACACCACCGCAACCACAACAGCAACCATAATCAGCAGCAGCACCATCAGCAGAAGCATCAGCATCATCATCATCAGCAGCATCATCGTCATCAATACAAGCATTAGCATTAACATTGGCATTGCCAACATCAGCATCACCATCAGCATCAGCATAGGCATCAGTACCATCAGCATCAGCATCAGCATCATCAACAGCAGCATCATCATCCTCAGCATCATCAGCATCATCACCGTCACCATCCGCATAAGCGTCATCATCAGCATTAGCATCATCATCATCAGCACCAGCATCATCGTCATCATCAGCATCGTCATCGACATCGTCATCATCGTCATTAACATAATCAGCATCGCCGTCATCGTCGTCACTGGCATCGTCATCATCAGCATCATATCTAATGGTCATCATCATCACCACCACAGCCACCACAACCACCATGAGCACCCTCATTATCAGCAGCAGCAGCAGCATCAGCAAATGCATCGACAGCATCATCATTATCATCATCATCATCATCATCATCATCATCATCATCATCATCATCATCATCATCATCATCATCATCATCATCATCATCGTCATCGTCATCAGCATGATCATCGTCATGTTCATCATGGTCACCGTCATCAGGATCAGCATCCTCATCATTACTATCATCATAATCATCATCAGCATAAGCATCACCATCCAGCATCAGCATCATCATCGTCATCATCGTCACCAACATCATCATGATCATCATCACCATCAGCATCATCATCATCGTCAGCATCGTCATCAACATCAGCACCATCGGCATCACAATCCCCATAACCGTCACCATCACCATCACCACCAGCATCGTCATCGTCATCATCAGCATCAGCATCAGCAGCATCATGAGCGTAATCAACACAGCATCAGCATCAGCATCCGCATCATCATCATCGTCATCATCATCATCGTCAGATCGTCACCATTCGCATCAGCATTTTCAAGTTCACGTTCATAATCATCATCGTCCTCATCAGCATCATCATCACCATCAGCACCATCGGCATCATCATCATCAGCAGCATCATCGTCATCGTCATCGTCATCATCATGAACACCATCATCGTCATCGTCGTCATCAGCATCATCACGATCTTCATCATCTTCCTCAGCAACATCATCATAAACATCATCATAATACTCCACCACCGTGCCTCTCGGCACGGAGTGGACGTGTCCTCAGGTCCTTTAACCAATCCCCTGCGCTTGAGCCCGAAGTCCTGAGGAGTGTCTTAGGGCCCCGCAGCCCAAAGTTACAACTCTGCTTGGGCTTGGCGCTGCTCCCTTGGGCCGTGGCGCATCTTGCCAAATGATTTTTTCGAGCCCCAGAGCGCCCCGAGACGGGCCGGGAGAACCCCAAGAGGCCCTCAAGCTGACCCAAGACGACCTCGAGTCGCCGAACGATCGCTCCAAGACGCCTTAGATGGGCCCGCGACGGCCCAAGAGGCCCCCAAGACACTCCAAGAGGCCGCCAAGAGGCCCAAATTATCACTGCTACGTGCGTGTTTGAAGAATTTGGGCGTTCCCGCCTTTTCGGCTCCCCGACGCTCCCAGACGGCACCGCCCCAAGACGGCCCAAGAGGCCTCAAAGAGGGTCCCGAAATGGCCCCAGAGGGCCCCACGACAGCCCAAGAGGCGCCCAAAACGGTCCAAGAGGGCCCCAAGACGGCCCCTAAAGGGGCCCAAAAGCCGAAAATCCGAGCCTTCCGCCCCAAGAGGCCCCCAGGAGGCCCCAAGAGGCGCCCAGGAGGCCCCAAGAGGCCCACAAGAGGCCACCAAGACGCCCCAAGTGGCCCCCAAGACGCCCCAAAAAAGCCCCAAGAGTTCCCCAAACGGCCCCCAAGAGGCGTCCAAACTGCCTCCAAGAGGCCCTCGAGAAGCCTTCCAGGAGACATCCAATAGACTTCATACCCACAACCCTCGCACGGTGGCGGGATGGGCCGAAGGCCATCAGAAGATCCGCCGCCCCCTGCTTGCAGGGGTGCACGGCGTGCTGGATGAGCTGTCAGGTTTTGGTTTTGGTTCTTTTTCCAAAAGAACTCCCCAGTGGGCTCCGGCCCGTCCCGCCGGGGTCCCGGGAGGAAGCCGAAAACACCTCAATCCGGAAAAAAATCCTCCAAAAACGGCCGTTTCGCTCGGGACATCCTCAAAAAATCGCGAAGATGGCCCAAGATGGCCTCCAAGTCCGCCCGAGATGGTCCAAGACGGCCTCCAAAACGGCCCAAGAGAGTCCAAGACGGCCCAAGACGGCCCAAGAGGCCCCCCAGAGGCCTCCCAGACGGCCCAAGAGGCCTCCAAGAGGTCCTCCAGGAGAGTCCGAAGAGGCCAAAATCATTGATTTTCCCTTGGTTTTTGAAGGATTTTGGCATTTGCGCCTTTTCGGCTCTCCGACGGCTCAAGACGGCCCAAGAAGCCCCCAAGATCGCCCAAGAGGCCCCCAAGAGAGCCCCCTGATGGCCCATGTGGCCTCCAAGATGGCCCCTAGAGGGCCCCAAGACGGCCCAAGAGGCCTCCAACACGCCCAAGATGGCCTCCAAGACGCCCAAGATGGCCTCCAAGACGGCCCTGGAGCGCCCCAAGAGGGTCCCCCGTTGGCCCAGAAAGGCCCCCAAAACGGCTCCCGACGGCGTCAGACGTGCCAGGAACCCACCAAGATGGCCGAAGTTGGCTCGAAGCTGGCCCAAAAGGGCCCAAGAGGCCCCCAAGAGGCCTCCAGGAAGGCCAAAAGATGCCAAAATCACTGATTTTCCCAAGGTTTTTGCTGGATTTGGGCATTTCCCTTTTTTCGGCCTTCCGACGGCCCGAGACGGCCCAAGAGCCCCCAAAGATCGCCGAAAGATCGCCCAAGAGGCCTCCAAGACGGCGACGATGACCATCAAGACGCCCACGTGTTCCCCGAAGGCTTTCCAAACCGATTCGGGGAACACATGGTCCGATGGCTTGGCAGGTCTGGCCTCAACGTTCGGCCACATAGGCGCTTCCACAAAGGCAGGGGGCGGCGGTGATTCGCCGTAGGCGTCTTCGATACTAATAATCCGCCGCCCCGTTTTGCTTTAGCCAAGGACTGCCTGGCGTGCTGGACCCTCTCGGTTTTGGTTTTGGTTCTTTTTCCAAAAGAACTCCCCATGGGGCTCCGGCACGTCTCGCCGGCCACCCGGAAAGGCGCTCAATCCGGAAAAAAATCCTCCAAGATGGCTCAAGATGGTGTCCAAGACGCCTCCAAGAGGGCCAAGATGGCCTCCAAGACGGCTAAGATGGCCCCAAGATGCCTCCAAGACGGCCCAAGGTGCACCCAAGACGCCCTAAGATGGCCTCAAGATGGCCCCAAGTCGGCCCAGAGAGGCCCCCAAGACGGCTCCCGACGGCGTCAGACGTGCCAGGAGCCCACCAAGACGGCCGAACATGGCCCTAAGATGGCCCAAGACGGCCCAAGAGGCCTCCAAGAGGGCCTCTAGGAAGGCCCGAAAAAGCAAAAATCATTGATTTCCCTAGAGTTTTTGAAGGATTGGAGCATTTGCTTTTTTTCGGCCTTCAGACGGCCCGAGACGGTCCAAATGCCCCCAAAGATCGCCCAAGACGGCCCCCAGAGGCCCCCAAGACGGCCCAAGAGGCCGCCAAGACGCTCAAGATGGCCTCCAAGACGGCCCAAGAGCCCTCCAAGACGTCCTCCAAGAAGGCCCGAAAGGGTCAAAATGGCCTCCAGACGGCCAAGATGACCTTCAAGATGCCCACGTGTTCCCCGAAGGCTTTCCAAACCGGTTCGGAGAACACATGGTCCGATAGCTTGGCAGTTCTGGCCTCAACGTTCGGCCACATAGGCGCTTCCAAAAAGGCAGGGGGCGGCGGTGATTCGCCGTAGACGTCTTCGATAATACTTAGAACAATGATGATTAGTAATAACAAGAGGAAGAATACTAACAGCAATAATACGAATAATAATAATGATAGCAATAACAATAATAACAGTGATGATGATGATGATGATGATGATGATGATGATGATGATGGTGATGAAGATGAAGATGAAGATGAAGATGATGATGATGATGATGATGATGATGATGATGATGATGATGATGATGATGATGATGATGATGATCATGATGATGATGATGAGGATGATCATGACGATGATGATGATGATGATGATGATGATGATGATGATGATGATGATGATGATGATGATGATGATGATGATGATGATGATGATGATGATGGAGAGAGCGTGATCCACCGCCGCTTTACTGTGGAAAACTGCCGCACTTTTCCTCCGGAACCCGGGGGTCCCCCCCCCTCCGAAACCTCCCCCCCCTCCCCCTCCCCCCCCCCCCCCCTCCTCCTCCCCGGCAAAACACCCCCCTCCCATAACCCCCCCCCCTCCCCCTCGAAAACCGCGGGGGGTCACTACCGGTTCGAACTCCCCCCCCCCTCGAAAACCGGAGGGGGGGTCACTACCGGTTCGAACCCCCCAACCCCACCCCCCACTCACCGCCAGCAAACGACTCCCGGTCCCTACCACCGTCCGCACCACATCCCCCACTGTTGTTCCCAGCACCACTGTCCTCACCACCACTGTCCCCACTGGCTCCACCACCGTCCCTACTCTCCCCACCAGTGCCCCCCACCACTGTCGCACTGTCCCCACTGTCCCCACCACTGTTCCCACCAGGGTTCCACTCTCCCCACTTTCTCCACGGCCCCAACCACTGCCCGACTATCCCCACTGTCCCCACTGTCCCACTGACTCCTCCGCTGTCCCACTAAGCTGTCCCACTGTTCCCACCACTGTCCCCACTGTCCGCACCACTGTCCCCACTGTACCTCTGTCCCATTGTCCCACCGCCGTCCTCGCCACCGCCTTCACCACTGTCCCCACCACTGTACCCTCCACTGTCCCACTGTTTCCACCTCATTCCCACTGTCCCCACACCACTGTCCCCACCACCACCGTCCCCACCACTGTCCACTGTCCCTACTGTTCCCACCATTGTCCTCACCACTGTCCCCACCACTACCGTCCCCACCACTGTCCCACTGTCCCCACCACTGTCCCGCTGTCCCCTCACCACTGTCCCCATCACCACGGTCCCCACCACTGTCCGCACCCCCCCCTCGGTTTTCGAGGGGGGGGGGGGCTTCGAACCGGTAGTGACCCCCCTCGGTTTTCGAGGGGGAGGAGGGGGGGGGGGGGTTCGAACCGGTAGAGACCCCCCCCTTTTCATGATGAACGGGGGGGAGGGGGAGGGGTTCGAACCGGTAGTGACCCCCCCCCCGGTTTTCCGGAGGGGGGGGGGGGTCGAACCGGTAGTGACCCCCCCCGGTTTTCCGCCAGCAGCGGTAGAACACGCTCTTTCTGATGATGGAAACACGACTGCACACAATAAGACTAACAATATTAAGAACAATGGCCATAGTCATACTATTACGACGGATGGCAATAGTCGTAATAATACAAACGATGGTAATAATGATCATAATAATGTGACGGACACCATAACTAGACTAAGCGCACTGATAAGAATGATGAGAAACGTGAATGAAACATAGACGGACAGTACTTAATATACAAATGAACAAAAGAACAAAGAACAAATGACAATAGAAATGCGAATACTCAGAATAACAATCATCACAACCTAGAACATACTCATCATCAGCATCAGCATCATCCTCACCATCACCATCGTCATCAGCAGCAGCAGCATCATCATGATCAGCATCATCATCATCAGCATCATCACCATCATAATCATCCTCCTCCTCAGCATCATCACCATCAGCATCAGCATCATCATCCTTGTCATCACATCAGCATCATCAGCATCATCATCATCATCATCATCATCATCATCATCATCAGCAGCATCATCATCATCATCGTCGTAATCGTCATCGACATCGCCATTATCCTCATCATCATCAGCAACAGCAGCCGCATCACCATCATCATCAGCACCAACAGCATCACCATCAGCGCCACCACCATCATCATCATCATCAACATCATCGTCACCATCATCAGCAACGGCATCATCATCAGCATCATCAGCATCATCATCATCATCATCATCATCATCATCATCATCATCATCTACATCATCATCTACATCATCATCATCATCATCATCATCATCATCATCATCATCATCATCATCAGAATCGTCATCGTCATCGTCATCGTCATCGTCGTCAGCAGCAGCATCAGCATCAGTTTCATCATCATCGTCATCATCATCGCAATAATCAGAATTATCATCAAAAGAGTAATCGTCATCGTCGTCATCGTCGTCGCCGTCATCATCACCACAAGCAGCAGCATCATCATCATCATCATCATCGTCCTCCTTAGTTCCATATTCCTTGCTTCGGTATGCTTGAACGCTCGTGGTATGGACTCGCTCGGCTCCTGAACGTCGGGGTTGATGGTCTGCACGGGCGTATGGGTGAAGGCCTTCGGGAGGGGGGCAACCAGAAGGGGAAGACAGCAGAGGATGGGAGAGAGCCACCAGGTAGGTGTATATAGAGAAAAGAAACATGTTCGTGCGAACCCGTTACTAGTTCTCGATTGTGCATATGCACATGCCTACGTTGCAAACGAAGTGCACATCCAGCTGCACGCTTGTTTCTTCAAGGACAAACACGAAGTCAGAGCAGTGAGGGCTGATTCTGGCAAATACCAAAACCAATGACACCGTGCCGAGGCTGTCAACTGCTGTTCTCTTCCAGGCTCCTTAATCGCTGCCCACGCCCCCCCCGCCACCGCCGCCGCCGCTCTGTGGCATCGCCGGATGGCAAGACACGGGGATACCCAAGCGGTCCCCCAGACTCCATCCGCTTCAGTGCACTTACCAAGGTGGTAAGCGAAACAAGAAACAACGCCCGAATGGGGCCCAGTTCGCCCCCACCTACCAAGTGACTGCGTCCGCCAGCGCGAGCTTCCTACGAGAACTTGGGGTAAGTACCACAACCCAGCATCCTTCAAATCCCCGCGAGGGCACGGGCAAGAGACAGCGATAATGCCGTGTGAACCGGCGGAACAAGCGAAGAGCTCGAATGCGGAGGCCGCCCTGCGGGCCCCCGTCGGAGGATGCCGGAGGAGAGTCAAGGAGCGGCTTCGCACACTCCGCCGGCCGAGGATGCTTCGATGCAATCTAGATGAGGCCGATTTCCTGGGGATTCCTTCTGGACGCGTACAGATCTGCCGACCCTTTGGCGTGTCTGAGACTGTTCCCCCTTTTTTTCGGAGAAACCAGGAGAAGGAACTGAAACCCTGCCCTTTTCCCGTTCCCTGACGGGGGGGGGCCCGGGTCAAAATACCGCCCCCCCCTCCCGGGGTCGCGGCGGAAAACACTGCGGTCGAAGTGCATCTCATCAGACCCACCGCCAACTTTGAACATTGGGGGGAGGGGGGAGGCGTTGACAGATGAATTTGGATACGTGATAGCACTGGTGGTGTGGGCCATCACGCCTCTGGGAGACGAAGAATACGAAGGACTGCCCTTCTACTACCATGGGGGCCTCATATCGGCAGACCCCTCACGCACTTCGTACATCATGCGCGCTCAGCTGGCCCTCAAGGCAGCAGCCCTCGTGCATTTTGTGCCCCATGGACTTCCAGGAGCGATCCGCTGGCCCTCAAGACGGCTGAAGGTAGCCTCAGTTCGACACACACGCACGCACGCACGCACGCACGCACGCACACACACACACACACACACACACACACACACTTCGTGCCTCATGGCCTCCCAGGGGTCCTCAGCTGAACCCTCCGACGGTTCAAAGAAGCGTCGATTCGGCATACCCCTCACGGACTTCGTGGCCCATGGACCCCTAAAGGCCGTCGATGGCTCCTAAAACCGCCTGTCATCCGCCATGATGGCTCTGATAAAGATTACACCGAGCGGTCCCGACCCTCGTCGAAGCCATACCCCGAATACCCATTGATTGTTGAATGCGCGTGCGAGTTTGCGCCGTGACTGCCGCTCTGCAGGCTCAAAAAATCAGGAACACAAAGAGAATGTTTTCAAAGGAGGTGCTGCAGGGGGGCGTTGAATGAAAGTGATGTGTTGCAAAAGAGCCCACACTGCAGGAACAGAAAGGCGAACGAAGCAGTACGATAGTACACATGAAAGTGCAGACAAAAGGGTGGGAGGAGGAGGAGGAGGAGGAGGAGGAGGAGGACAAGGAGGACAAGTAGGAGGAGGAGGAGGAGGAGGAGGAGGAGGAGGAGGACAAGGAGGAGGAGGAGGAGGAGGAGGAGGAGAAAGACAAGGAGGAGGAGGAGGAGGAAAGTACATTCCCTCCTCCTCCTCCTCCTCCTCCTCGTCCTCCTCCTCCTCTGCCTGTCCCGCCTGGGCGTGCTGCAGCATTCGGCTGGCCAGCAGCGGGTTGGCGGCGACCTGCAGCGCCAGCGCCGGGTTTGCCTTTTCCGGGGCGGACGGAGGGGCGAGGCACGGACGGAGAGACGTGCTTCGGGTGCAGAAGGGCCTGGTATGCTCGAGTGGGTCTCGTCGCGTGCTGGCAGGAAGAGGGAGGGGGGATACGGGGGGGAAGGCGCAGGGCGATGAGGATGAGGAGGAAGAGCAGGAGGCTGGGAAGAGGAGGAGCAACAGCAGCACGATGGGGGGGTATGGGGAGATAGGGAGGGGGAGCGAGAACGAGGAGAGCGGGGAGGGAGGACGGGGAGCAGAAGCTCGCGAAATGGCTCGTGAGGACTTGTCTGCCAGAGACTTGTGCGTTTGCTCTGGCACGTCTGCTGTGGCACCCAGTGGGCCCGCGAGCTCCTCTGCCTCTGCCCTGCACGCATACGTGCTGGGGAGCCTGGAGCTCAGCGGGCAGGGGAGAGGGCCCATGCCCGAGTACTCGTGGGTTTCGGAGACAACGCGTTCGCTGCTGCAGGCACGATAGGGGGTCAGTGGTCGGATTTGGGTCAGAGGTATGCACACGAACGCACGCATATATTGCTATAAACATGTGTTATCCCTGGCTACTGTCCCTCCCGCCCGCCGCGCACTCCGACTACCAAGAGTAGCAGATGGGGATGAGACAGGGGGTGGGGGGCAGGGCATGGGGGAGGGAGGCGATGAGGGAGCAGGGAGGAGAGAAGAGGGACGATGAGGAGGAAGAGGGAAAAAGGATAATAAAGAGGGGTATACGGAAGAAGCTGAGAAAGGAGGAGGGCGGGAGGACAAGAGATAACGAATCTGAATATGATAAGGATGAGGTGATAAGGAGAAGGAGGACAAGGAAGAGGATGAGGAATACGAAGGATGAGGAGGACGAGGATGAGGGCGGGAGAAGAAGAAGTGATGGCGGTGAGCAGGCGAGCTGCTTCTTCTCCTTCTCACCCTCCTTCTCCCATTTCGGTCGCGAAACTCTCACGCGGCAGTCTCAAGGCTGTTTGGTCGCCCTATGGGACCGTACTGGCGTATTGGGTTCTCTTGGGGCGCTTTTGTGGCCTCTCGGGACCATGTGAAACGTTTCTCCGTTTGAGTCCTCGTCGTCGCCGTCGCCGCTCCCGCCCGTTTCCTGGGCCCTCCTCCCCGCGCGATCCAGCCGTAGGGAAATCATACAGCGTCGCGGTTGACTCGAGAGAAGACCACGTCCCCTGGATCCCTTCCCCAGGGGGAGGTCCTGAGGGGGGGGGGGGGGGGGCAACGAGGGGTGTAATTACCAAGGGGTCGGGACCTCCCCCCTCGGGGGTCCCCCCGGGAAGACAAAGGGGGACGGGAGAGGGGGGGGCCCCTCGTAGCTCGGGACCCCTCGCCCCGCCGCCCCCCCTTGCGAACGAGGGGACCACCACCGCGCACGCCCCGCCTCCACCAAGCAACCCCCCCCCTCCCCCGAGCGGCAGCCTCGCCACTCTCTTATCTGCCCCCGCGGGGTGCTGCGCAAAGCTTCCCGCGCGCCTCCGAGAGGCCTCGGCTCCACTCCGGGGGGGCGGCTCCACGTGGCCACGGAGCTTCCCCAAAGAAGGCGCCCGGGAGCCCCCCCCCCCACCCACAGAGCCCAATAGGCTCCCTAGAGAGCCCCAAGGAGAGCTCCAGGGCGTCAGCGTTGTCGTCGTCGTCGTCGTCGTCGTCGTCGTCGTCGTCGTCGTCGTCGTCGTCGTCGTCGTCGTCGTCGTCGTCGTCGTCGTCGTCGTCGGCGGCACCAGCCGTCGTCGTTGTCGTCGTCGTCGTTGTCGTCGTCGTCGTCGCCGCTGCTGCCGCCGCCGTCGTCGGCGGCACCAGCCGTAAGGCCTTCCCGATGGAGGAGGAAGGATCAGAAGCGAGGGCGAGGGCGGAGGAGGGCGACGGCAGGAGGCAACGCCCGGCCCTCGACCTCCCGGCCCTCGTCTGGGGGCCCTTTGGGCTCTCTTGGGTGCCTCCTGGCGACCTCGTGGGCCGTCTCTTGTTGTTGTTATTATTATTTTTCTTTATTTCTTTGTTATATGTTGTTATTTTTGTTGTTGTTCTTTTTGTTTGTCCTTTTTCCCAACCATCCTGTGGTGTTGGGTCCTCGTTTTGAAGAGACGGTGCCCCGCGTCTCCTCTCCTCTCCTCTCCTCTCCTCTCCTCTCCTCTCCTCCTCCTCTCCTCTCCTTCCCTCTCCTCCTCTCCTCTTCACCCACCCAGTACACCGTTTCGTGGCTCCATAGGGAGCTCCACCGAAGGCCCCAGTGCCCGCGCCCGCATGCGTCACCCACACCCATTTCGGCACACCCCTCACACGCTTCGTGGCTCCATAGGGAGCTCCACCGAAGGCCCCCAGTGCCGCGCCCGCATGCGTCACCCCACACCCATTTCGGCACAACTCACACGCTTCGTGGCTCCCTAGGGAGCTTCAAACCGAAGGCCCAGCGGGCCCGCGCCCGCATGAGGCACCCACCACCCATTTCCGCACACCCTCACACGCTTCGTGGCTCCATAGGGAGCTCCGGCCGAAGGCCCCAGTGCCCGACGCCCGCATGCGTCACCCACACCCATTTCGGCACACCCCTCACACGTTTCGTGGCTCCATAGGGAGCTCCACCGAAGGCCCCAGTGCCCGCGGCCGCATGCGTCACCCACAACCATTTCGGCACACCCCTCACACGTTTCGTGGCTCCATAGGGAGCTCCACCGAAGGCCCCAGCGCCCGCGCCCGCATGCGTCACCCACACACATTTCGGCACACCCCTCACACGTTTCGTGGCTCCATAGGGAGCTCCACCGAAGGCCCCAGTGCCCGCGCCCGCATGCGTCACCCACACCCATTTCGGCACAACCCTCACACGTTTCGTGGCCCCATAGGGAGCTCCGCCGAAGGCCCCAGTGCCCGCGCCCGCATGCGTCAGCCACACCCATTTCGGCACGCCCCTCACGCGTTCCGTGGCCCCATAGGGGAGCTCCGCCCGCAGGCCCCAAGTCGCACACAGCCAGCCAGCCATGCGTCAGCCACCACCCATTTCGGCACAACCATCACACGCTTCTGGGCTCCATAGGGAGCTCCACCGCAGGGCCCCCGTGGCCGCGCCCGCTATGCGTCCCGCACACCCATTTTGGCACACCCTTCACACTATTCGTGGCCCCATAGGGAACTCCACCGAAGGTCCCAGTGGGTGTGCCCGCATGCGTCCCGCACACCCATTTCGGACACCCCTCACACGTTTCGTGGCCCCATAGGGAGCTCCACCGAAGGTCTCAGTGGGTGTGCCCGCATGCGTCCCGCACACCCATTTCGGCCCACCCCTCACACGTTTCGTGGCTCCATAGGAGCTCCACGAAGGCCCCAGTGCCCGCTCCCGCATGCGTCAGCACACACCATTTCGGCACAACCATCACACGTTTCGTGGCCCATAGGGAGCTCCGCCGAAGGCCCAGTGCCCGGCCCGCATGCGTCAGCCACGCCCAATGTTTTTGTTTTTCGGCACGCCCATCACGCGTTCCGTGGCCATAGGGAGCTGCCACCGAAGGCCCCAGTGGGCGACACAACGCATATGTTTCACGCACACCCATTTCGGCACACCCCTCACACGTTTCGTGGCTCCATAGGGAGCTCCACCGAAGGCCCCAGTGGGTGTGCCCGCATGCGTCCCGCACACCAATTTCGGCACACCCCTCGTACGTTTCGTGGCCCCGTAGGGGGCTCCACCGAGAAGATATTCATAATTGCAATATTCACAATTGCATATGGTTGGGTCCTTCGCCAGGATAATTGTTATTCTTTCGTTGTTTTTTCTTTTTTTTGTTGTTTCTTTTTGTTGTTATTTTTGTTTCTTTCTTTCGTCTCTTTTTGTTGTTCTTTTTGTTATATGTTTCTTTCTTTTGAGCCGCAGACGCCTCGGAAGAGAGCCGGAACCTTCCGGCGCCGGACCTCGCCGCGAGCGACCTTGTTGTGGGTCGTCTTTTTGGGGGCCCTATGGGCCCGCTCGGGGCGCTCTCGGAATCGGGCGCCCGTCGAGGCCGTCTTGGAAGGGGCCCTGGGACACACAAATAAATACACACAAACAAAAAGATTCCCCCTATCTTCATACATTTTCGGGGCTTCGGTCTTCCCCTCCCACTTCCCATATTTTCCCATATGTTCTGGGAATCGTCGACTAATTGTGTCTGTGTGTTTTTTCCCCTCCTGAGTCTTGGGGGCCTCCTGGACTGTCATGGGGTTCAGGGGGCCGTGTTGGCGCCGGTTGGGGATCTCCTGGGCCGTCTTGGCGCTCTCTCTTGAGCCACCTCAAGCCTTCTAGGCCATCTTCGCTTCGTCTTGGACGCATATTGGGACCTTTGGAGGCCTTTCCTGAGTCGTTGTAGCGCCCTCTTTGGCCGTCTTGAGCCTCGTGGGGGGCCTCTCGGGGCGCCCTGAGGCTCTCTGGGGCCGCATGGGGGCCTTCGGATCGACTCGTGCTCCTCTCGAGGCCCACTTGGGACACTTCTGGGCCGTCTCCTTCGGGCGATCTTGGGGGCATCCTCGGCTGTCGTGAGCGCTCTAGCGACGGAAAAACGAGTCTACAGAAATAGGACGAAACCCATCGAACATCAAAGAGTGTCGACGCTGAAAGCCACTCAGGGGTCATCGTCGGGCCTCCTGGGCTCGTATCATCAGGAGCCTCTTGTCAACCGTTTTGGGCTATCTTGAACCGTCTTGGAGGCGTTCGAGATGCGTTTGAGCCAGCTTGGGGGCCTCTCCTCGCAAACTGCTGCTCTCTACGAGCTTCGTGGCGCCCTCCGGGTGGTCCTGGGGGGGCTGTCGTCAGAGGCTGTGGAAGGGCCCAGCAAGCCCTGGACCCCGTTCCCGAGGACCCGTCCCGCCATGGGGGACACGGGGCTGCCCCCCTCTGCACCCCCCCCCCTGGGCCTGGCCCTGGCTGTTCACAGGTTTGTCCCAAGTGCCTTACCTAGGCGCCCGCAGGTACCTGCCAAGTGCCTCTCCTGGGCTGCCCGCAAGTACCTCCCAAGTGCCATGCCTGG